TTTACAAGACACTTTCTCAGTAGCGTTTCTCAGAGACCCTCATGGTATGGGTCCTGCATCCAATGGATGGAGCAGGCATGACCACTTTCATACCATGCGCAGAAAAGTGGACCCCTACAGAAGTAAGACAACCAGACTGGTATGTGAACGAACGACAAAGGACGCGTTGGAAATAAATCGTGTGTACAACCAACCAACAACAAAAGGTAAGTAGACAAGCCTAATTGTAAGAAGTAATTAGCAGGGCCCAAATATAGGATTTGTAGAAATGAAGGTTTCTTTCAACAATGACAACATCTAGCGACATCAAAGCCAAGACCGTTTTCCTACCTATGACTCTCCCCCTATGTCCACATAGGGGCACCCATAGGCAAGCGGGGTTCGTCTCAACAGATGCTTTGGAGCTTGCAAATGAACGTTTTCTGACAATCCCTACAAGTAAGGTTCAAGAAAACAACTTCAGCGGAACCCAAACTTTTCGAAAACAGCTGAAACAGTCTTCTATCAAGTGACTCACCTGTACTTGACCTCTTTGCAGTAAAAACTTCGAGTTGCAGACGACGATTAAGTGTTCAGGCCTGGGAACAAACTTTTCATTGAGAACTATGGAATTTTGATGGAGTTTTCAGCTGGTTTCCGACCGGAGCGCTACGACGATAATCCCAAAAACGGAAAAGTCACGGTCGCCGAGCAAAGTTATGGTTGAGCAAGCTTCGCGAAAATGCTTCGCCGCCCATGTTTCTCCCTCCATTCTCTCTCTACTCATAATTTCATGATTTTAGCCCAAAATACGACCCCATACCTATACGATTTCTAACAGCTGAAAGAAGTTGGGTAGGGTATTTGAAACAGAGTGGTACTACATTCTAGATATTTCACAGGACCGGGTGGAGGTGTATGGTGGCGAGTAACGCACTACCACACACTCAAGTTCCGGGGATCGAATCCGAGACCGATACTCCCTTAGGCAAATTAAGCCTTCTATTCCTCCGGGGTCGGCCAACTGGTACCAGACTCGTTTGGGAGGATGAAAGCACTGACTTGTACATCGCCTGGCAACATCAAGCATTGTATGGGCCACCATGATTCCGAACGGAAGTCGACTGCAGGGTGCGTTCCACAACAAAAATGATTAAGGCCGAAGATTTCATACTTTACCGTAGAACTAGCCCTGACAACTCCAACAACGACTTTAGAGTTCAATAACAGTTCATCAGATAAGAACCCTCCGCACCCATTGAATGAGGTGGTCACCCCGTTTCGCGGCCCCCGTTCCACGGCCCAAGCTCAAATTTGTTCCTGCCCCAATAACCCTTTAAAACTAGTCATCTATTACCTCTTAATCGTCTTGGAAAAAACTTGATTGATCAGAATATGAGTCATTTCGTGACCTTCCCATGATCAGAATCACTTACCTAACTTCTCAGTAACCTACAAAGACTCGCTAGACAGTTTTCCGACGCAGACGAAAACAAATGGATGGGATCGCTCTGAAGAGGAGCCTTTTCGCCAAACTTCTAGCCGAGCAAATTGCAATGGTTTTCTTTTTTTCGCATGAAACTCGACTGTCAAAAAATTTCCTGACGAATAGTGGATGATAGTGGCGGACTATCAAAAAGTACGCGACGACCGGTTTCTGCGAATCCAGCGGTTGATCCCGTACTTCACGTGGTCAACTTAGTCATGGTTAGTTGACTTCGAAAACAACTTTCGACAATAGGTGACCGCACCGGTGCTGAATCTTCCCCACCGAGGCCCAGGACAGGAAGTTCTGAAATTTATGATCGTACTTTGGGGTTAAAGTGAGTCAGGATGAGGCTGTTGATCTGAAGACACCGCGACAGAATGGACCAAGTCTGACTCAGTCTTGAGCAGTGTCTCATAATAGGGAATGGGGTTTAGGGTTGCATTCGGTAACGCTTGGGTGGGGATCCTAAGCAAATGTTCATTCCCTAGCACAGGAGCTGTTTTATGTATGTCTTCCCCGTTACGGGAATTGTTGTCAAGGCAAATGGCGCACTGCCACACACGAATGGTCACGGGCTCGAATCCTGTCTCGGTCTGCTCAGGCCAACCAGGCCTTCCATCTCTCCGGGAACGTTCAATTGGTAGCAGACTCGTCGGGGAAGATGAAAGTACTGACTTGTACGTCGGCTGCGAGGGCAACTTATTGTATAGGCCCCATACGCACTCAAACATCCACAACGATTCCGAATGGAAGTCGAATGCGATGGGACAGTCTAAGAAGGAATGGAGTACCTCCGAAAGACTTCGCCCTGTATCTTTATTCCTTCATGGCAGATGTAGCTGATCTAAACAATGAGAGGAATATAGTATCAGGAGGAAAGGGTTCCCATGCGTCCATCCCGATTTTTTGTCTCCAAGTACATCTATCTCAATGTTTATACAACTTCAAAAAGTCTTGAACGATAGAGAACGAGCTACCTACACACCCGAGTAAAAAGCTCCTTCAAACCCATCAGGGTATCACCTTACATTACCCACCTACCCTACGAACCGGCCTTCCAAGGGACGAAGTACCTGTTACTGTATGCATTATTCATTCCGCAACCCACGTTCGACTCTCTAGATAAAGGATAAAGTCTCAGGGCGCTGATCAATCCCACCTAAAGGATGCACCCACGCATTCGACTTCCACTCAGAATCGTAGTGTCGTATTGAATGCCTATACAGTATGGGGCCTATACAATGACTTGCGGTGGCCAGCCGATGTACAAGTCAGTGCTTTTATCCTCCCAGACGAGTCTGGTACCGATTAACCAACCNGTTGGCCTAGGCGGATATCGATCCGGGATTCGAACCCGTGACCATGCGTGTGTGTAGTGAACTACTTGCCACTCCGCCCTCGACCTAAGATAGATAGAAGTGATGTTGGTATCATAAAATCTACGAAGGTTCCTGAGAAGAAACGAGATACAGTACGACGCTATTGGAAGTATCACAAAAAAAGATCACAACTGAGGTGACAATAAACTTTGATTTCGAGGTAATCAACCAATAATAAGCTGTCGGTAAATAACCACTGATCAAATAGATTTCGTGAAAGGACTCTTCCATGATGGAGAAAGCCTTACGTCTTGATACTAAGATTTTCTTGTGAGATTTTTTTAGGCGGGACGTGATGGAGAGGGTTCTAAAAGTCACCCTCGTACGACTTTCAGAACCCTCTCCAACACGTCCAGCTTAATTCACAAGAAAATCTTATCCGAAATGAGAAAGATCGATGTAGAGTGAGTTTAATATAATAATTGGCGATAAGATAGATTTGGAGGTCAATTTTAAGAGCAAATCCGAAACCCATGAGGACTTCCTCAGGCGGCTGCTGGGACAGTTTTACAAACAAATTGGCTCTTGAACTCTTTCTTTGACTTTAGCTCTGTCCAGTAGGCGGAGTTGTATATTCACTATGTGACCTGTTCCCACACTCCCACTTCGCTAATCACGTCTAATTTTTCGTTCTAATCTGAAATGCTGTAAGGAGGTTGTATAATGGCGAGCGGCACTATCATACATGCATGGCCACGGGTTCGAATTCCAGATCGATATCCTCCCAGGCCAACCAAGCACTCATCCTTCCGTGGTTGGTTAATTAGTACCAGACCCGCCTAGGATGACAAAAGACACTGATTTGTACAATGGCTGATCGCAACAGCATGCTATTGTTGTAGACCACTTAAGCATTCAGACGCCACTATAATTTTGAACAGATTTGGAAAGCGTGGGAGCATCCCTCAGACGGGATGGACCAACTCCCGAAGACTTTATCCTTTTTATCCTATTTTGTAATTTGTATTAGAACGGATATTTGCCGTCACTATTGGAGCGAGCTTCGTCTGAAGGCCTTTTTTTGCTGTGCTGGGAGAGATTGATTCAGTAAACCTTGTCCACCGCTCAGCCTGATTATTTGGTACAAAGTTTTCGATTTTTTTCGGAATTGTTGCAAACTTCCCTGCAAATCTAGGGAATCGAACCGGTGGTGATAGAAACAGAGGGAACTCATTCGAATTTTGCGATGGTATTGTTAACGGTCTGTCAAAATTATTAGCAAAAACTTTGAAAAATGTAAAAATTTCAAGAAAAAACTCGATTGTGCTGATCTCGTACTAGTTATTCCCTAACCATGTCAATGGAAAACGAAGGATCTTCACGAAAACAGAACACATTTATTTTCAACCCAGCCAGTGACTCTTCGAAACGAAAGTCACGAAAATGATCAAAACCATAAATAGTATTGTCTAAAGTAGTTATCATGAAAAATTGTCCCGAACTTCAATGGAATAGGACATTGAGCGTGTGACTGATTCGTTCTGAGTTCATGTACAGTTTTCTTTCGAATTTTTCCACTGATTCATCCACAAAACCATATGAAAACACAACCTAAACATCAAAAACATATTTATGGAAAAATTTGTGTATTTTCTGGTTTGTGAGGAGGTTTTCTTTCAGATTTATGAAGTCGTATGAGCAGCCAAAATTGAAAAGATGAAATTTCCAAGACGAAATTCACGATGAAATTCCCATAAATCTCTGGGTTACCTAGCTACATGATAATTTTGTCATTTGTATTCTTACTGCGTCTCTGGTAGAACTCGTTCAATTGAATCTTAAGATAAACAGAAGAATAATTAATTAATCAAATAAATAGATAAATAATCAAATAAGCTGATCGATGCTTTTCAACTTCCTCGACTTTTAGTAAACTTTGTCAAGTCTCAAGGGATTTTGATTTGACACTTGACACAAAACTTTGTTTTTTTTGTTTGATCGGTTTTTTTATTAATAAAATGAATATAATTAAATAAATCAATAAATAATGTAGATACGTAATTAAGCTGCTTTATAAATCAACAAGTAATCATCTGATTGAACCACACAAGCATATAAACAAATTGACTTGCCAATTAGTGATAATAGACCAAGAGAATAAACGTTTGAATTAATAAATTAGGGATGTAAATAAAGAATAACTTGAATAAATTCGAAACGTTCCCACTCACTTTTCCATTGAGATCACACATGTCGGTGATGTAGACCTTCACATAGCCGTGCTCACCAGCTTTCAACACGCCAGCAGTAGGTCTTGCCAAGAGACTGTCGCCCATATTGGTCTGAAATAGAGTCAACTCATTTTCAGGAGGAGAAAAGGTTGGAGGGCTCGAGTTTCGGGCGAGTACTCTGAATATTTGACAAAAATGACAAGGCACATGAATACGACGAAGACTGTGTCGTTAGATTCGATAAATAAGATCGTTGCCGTCTAGTTTTTATAGAGATACGAAGAATTTCACAGCATTCACGAACTTTGAGCCGATGTTTACACCTGCTCAGGAAGAATACCCGTTCTCCCAAACGGAAGCATACTACCACCATAGCACGGGTTGAAGCTGGCCAATAGTTCCTCATGCCCTTTCCAAGCTCTTTGTCTGGAATTCCAGTTTAGGATAGTGAACTACAAAGGCATACGGCTAGAGGAGTTATTCATTAGGAACTTTGACAGAAATGGGAACGGAATTTTTAAGGGGGTGGGACGGTCTGGTCACGGCTACTCGTCCATCTGCAATAACCAGACAGTCCCGCCCTCTTGAATGTTCAAAAATAATTCTATCACACGAAAATAAGGTTTTGTTGAGAATAAATGGTGGTTCGATGTTGCAGCAATTCTAACCACTCACCCGAAGGGACCAAATAATATTCTCCTGGGATACATTTGATATGGTAACTCTCTTCCATCGTTTGTGACCGAATCGAGGGAATTCTATCTGAAACCAATAACCTCTCGAACTGAGAATAAATTTTCTAATTTTGCTGAACCAATATTAGCCAACCGTAAACATTGGATTGGTCACGAGATGTGCTCCACCATGTGCTGGCTCATAAATGGACGATGTGGAGACTGTTGACTAAATAACACTCTTTCCAATCGATAACGGAGCGATTTGAAAAGTAAATCGAACAATATTCAAGATTTGGTAGAGGTAGACTACTAATTGAACTTTGAAACACACCAAACTTTTAAAAACATTCATAAGCTGGTCCGGGCTACTCGTCCATTTGTAGTGACCAGACAGTCCCGCCCACTGAGGAAGCCCCGCCTTCCCGAGGGAATAGGTCAGACCAACGGCAGCAAAGTTCAGGCCCGCTTCCGATCTGCCAGTTTAGTTAATTTCAACTTTGCAAACTCTGGTTTCATCATGGTGTAGCCTTGGACAAACTGGTTCTGCTTCTGTTTAGCTTCCGCTTTGCGTAGTAATTTCCTTGTTCCGCACGTTGCCCTACTAATATGCAACATCGATCTGATTAGAACTCAATAACGAACGAATGTTTTCGTGAGTGTAATGTGAACACAATCACCGCTCAAGCAATCATCACGTATGACATGTTCCATGTCAGAAACGACGCATTGATAGGGATGGCGATGGGGAGCTGAAGGGCCTACTGAGGGAGTATGAGCTAACCAAGACGAAGGCAAGTGAGACATAACACCTGTGAAAGTATTGGATTGTTAGCAGCTCTGGGCTCTTTCCTACATGCCCATCAGAAACTGATTTCCTGTGTAGGTTGAAACTCCCAAACATGAAATGCAGGCAAGCCGCAATTTAAGGATGCTTGAACCAAAAAATACCAAGTGCCTGTATAAAAACTGAGCAAGATGGTTTGTTTGACTAGGCCATGGCCTTCAATTCTAGTACAATCTCTTTACCCAAGTCGCAATACTTGGCAAGTCCACAAGACCTGGCGAGAGGCATGGGGAGCGAAGGCAAAGTGGGAGGCAGTTGGGAATGCTGGACGTCGAAATTGTTATTCACAAGTGATTTACCCACCCCTCCATTCCGTGAGTATGTCTACTCCCCCGGAGCACCTGCGTGGCCTTGCACTGTTTAAAAATATGGCCGAGCTCGAAGGACCCTCTTCTACATCGGGTTCCGATAACAGTTAAGCATAGTAGCCCTGCAAAGACGAGTCCTCCGCTGGCTCCTGAAGGTTTTACCCCGAGACACCATCTCACCTTACTTTTCACCCCCAGATCCGCGTCATCAGATGTAGTACATCTTCCCCAAACCATTCCGAGCACGTTTTGCTTCTTTGCTGGGTGTCTCGCCGAAAGGTCTACTTTCTACAGAAAACAGCAGTCACTGATTTTCCCCTTCTTCACACACCATCAACCCTTTCAAACCCTTTCACTTGAAATTACCAGTGCCACCAATCAAGCCAGTAGATCGCTATTTATTGATCGATCGTTAGAAACATAAAACGAGGACGTCTATCGGAAATCATCGAAAGTTCTAGTAAGTTCTTGATCAGATCCATTCACTCCGAGGAAACTTGATCAGTAGTAGCCTGGAAAATTCCGACAAGGATCTGATCATTCTTCAGACAACTTTTCTTAGGCTCGAATCTCGACTCCCACAACTACTTTAATTATTGCGATTGTTTACTGTTTACCAAGGGGCGGAGGTGGTGTAGTGGCTAGTGGCGCACTATCACACACGCATGGTCACGGGTTCGAATCCCGAATTGATATCCGCCCGGGCCAACCACGCCTTTCATCCCTCCAGGGTCGCTTAATTGGTACCAGACTCGTCTGGGAGGTTAAAAGCAC